AATTCATAAGAATTTCTTTCTTTTCATCAGGACTAGTTAGGATTTGACTGTTGTTTGTAATTATTCTCCACATTTGGGGCACTAGAGCTATGGTATATTCGTATGATTACTGTTGCCTCAACATAAATAAATTAAGAATAAAGTGTAAACCTCAGTAAAGAAAAGACAGTAATCTTATACATTGTGTTATGGAGTAATACTATTTCAGATACAAAATAATGTGTTACATACAGATTTCATAAAGGTATTATTAAAATACACAAACATTAACAATAATAACAAAAAATAGATGTTGCTAAACTAATTAGAATATCTAATTATTTTTTTTAATTCGTTATTTTAAGATGATTGGTTGCTTACATTTATATACAGATATACAGCAGTTTATTTTAGTACTACGATATTTTTCTCGTACAGTAATAGTCCTTGACCTTTTTTTGTCTTTATTGACCTATCGATTCCGTTGACCTACTTGACTTCTGGTCACATTATTTTCTGGCATAGATGTTTACTTTTTATTTACTTGTTTATGGATTACCTAATGAGAAGCTTGATCAAAATAACAGTTTCAATTTAATATTTATGATTATATATATATATATATATACACACACACACACACACACACACATATATATATATATATATAATTATAAGAACTTAAACATGTATGTATACGTTAATGTATTTATATATTATGTATTACTATTGCACCACCTACGTAGTTAACGTTCCTTTACGCTATCGGTTACCTGGACAAGATCGCTACGAACCGATAAGGCCGCCAAATTTTGCATTCCATTAATTTGTTTGTTTATTGTTAATCTTTTGTATCCTTTTATGTGTGGTGGACAATAAAGTATTCATTCATTATTCACCTTAATCATCTTTGTTGAATGCATTCAATTCAACATTTCAAAATTGTGATGTGGATATCCATTTTGATAGCTTAAATGTTTTAAAGAGGAAGTTGGTAAAACATTACTCAGCCCAATATTTTTTTCATTTTTTTTCCTTCCTCTCTTTTTTCTATTATACATTCTTTTATACATTACATTTTTCTATTTATACATTATGTAAGTTAGATTTTTTTGTTCTCATTTTATTATTTTATTGTAGTGATAGTTTTGTAGGTTAATGTTCTCCTTAAAGGAAGTCTTTTATTTGATGTTGTGTTTACCTTTAATTTAAATGCATATATACAATGTTTAACTTAATTTTAAGTGCATCTCACACAGTGTTGGACCGACAACTAATAAAATGGTATGGATGATAATTGGTGGATTGGCGAGTTGTTCGATTATGAAATTCGGCAGCAGGTCAGCAACAATATTTGTAAGCCCTCGGGTGTTGCTGGCGTTCATGGGCGGCGGTAATCACTTACCATCAGGTGAGCCTACTGCTCGTAAAAAAACGAATTGTCCCCCTTTTCTATATAAAAAAGAATTGTCTTCAGAGCACTCCGCATGATAGATCCGATAGAAAATACAAAAGTATGCAACATCTCTTCGCAAGGGTAAACAGTGGAGGCGATTGGACGGAACCTGGTCATCTACGATTCGAGCAGCTCCTCGTTGGATGCGGTCAAATAGGAGCTAGTACTTTCAGACAATGCCCTAGTACAGAGGAGACGTTTAGTCAGCAATGAGACAAATATAAGCAGTTACATTTTTACTTTCTTACTTCTAATTGACACAATGTTAAATAGTAATTTGAAGAATGAAAGCAACAAGGATAACAATAGTGGAATAATTAATAGTACTTATATATTATTGTTTACACGTATTACTTGCATTTATCGTTTTTACTTATGAGCCTTTTTTATAGAAACTAAAATATTTTTTGTTCTTATTTCATTATCATGAACAACAGGGCTAAATTAATGAATGGAAGGCTGGAAGAGTTTGCATGAATTTTTATTTTATACAAGACTTTTCTTTATCACCTCTAGTACTCGCTGTTGCTCCTCTATACCTTTGCCGTTGCGAACAGGATACCGACTAGTGTTTTAGCTTCACAGTCGTTCAACCCGTCCAACTGCCAAATGCCGTCAATACCACCTTGGTTGGAACTTAAAGATTGAAGGACAGAGCCTATTCATACTTCAAAAGCCAGCATCGCATATGAAACTCCTCTGATGCTCTGCAGAGGCGGCAGCGATTTTTTTAAATTTATTTTTTAGAAAACATTGCCCTAACTTTAGAATAACATTATGCTGTGTTGTAAAGACGTTTTATAAACATAAAGTTCACGCGGACAAACACTCAGATGCGAAACAACTATCCGTGGGTAACACAAATAGTTGTCCCGTGTGGGAATCGAACCCACGACTCCCGACGCCGAAGCCAATACCTTGGCAACTGCGCCACAGAGTCATCAATTTACTTACCATCAGTTGGCCTGTTTGCTCCTTTTCTCCTTTTTCCAGATTTTGTTTGAACCTTTGCAGAAATATGTTTTTAATAATCCACTTTAATGCTTATGTCATAATTAATTGTTTTGTTAAAACATGTAGAAAAAGTACGAAAAGATTATCGCCGCTGTGGGAATCGAACCCACGTCTTCGGCATTCGCGGCCTGGCGCTCAAGCCACTGAGCTAAACGGCTGATTGTTTTGTGTTTAAATTTTATGTAATAATTGTATACAACGATTGTTGGTTTTTGTTTACTTCAATTAATACCTCCACATAGTAACTTCATTATGAAATATGTGTAGAAATTATTTATTCCCGTTAACTATTCCTTCTTATTTGGGAAAGGCATCTATTGAAAATCATTTTGAACATATTTTTGTATAATTATATCAGTAAATCTTTTACACGAATGTTTATTTTTTAAATAATTTCTTTATTAACACACAACAAATAGTAACGTACAGTAATTAATATGCCTAAACGATTATCAATTTTTTCGTGAACCACTACGCCTGTGTTATATTAACCGCAACAATTATAATTTTTATTTATAAATTATTAGTCAAATTACAAGTTGATAATTCAAATCAGTATTTGAGACTTTCAAAATAATAATGGTACGTATTGGATTGTTTTAAGAACTTAAAATATTTCTATCTAAAGCCTTTCACTAAGATATGCTTTTACTTCCTCTTTTTTGACCAACAGAAAGTCGTTCCTCTCCGTTTGTTCATCTTTATTCATTTTTATCTTTTCAGCAAGTATCACATAATTTCATTTCTTTGGATCATTATTTTAACTGTAATTGATCCACAAAAATTGACATATAGAAATATTATCCATGGCTCAGTGTTTTTAAAACCATTTTGTGATTAATTGTACGTAATGGAGTATCAGTGACAACGCTAACATGTATTTCTTTAACTTGGCTATTACTTTCATAATATTTATATAATATGAAAGCCTCAATTCGAACATGGAAATTTGTAAACAATTTGTATTAAATAGGACCCAAATTATATACGTATGATTGGTAGAATTTCATCAATAGATGAAACATATTAATACTTACGTAGTGTAACATTTAGTTAGTACATTCTAAAAATAATGTGCACATTCTTGAAAAGAATTTGATATAAATTGTATTGTCTACGTATTCTACGGATAGTAAACCTAATAACAGTTTAATGTGATATAAATAAAGAGCTTAACGTAAGCGTTCTAGTAGATTGTTGACGTTAGAACTTTTCATTTTTAAGCAATTATGATTTCAAAATATGCTATAGTTACGTTATTACACAGCACAGTAGGTAACAAGAATACAAACAGTTTATACGCACATAGATATACTATACAGTTGTAAATTTACAGAATGATTAAACGTATTTACAGACGCTATAAGTACTTAGCATTACAGACAATAACTAAGTTTCTCCGATAGTAATAATTTTCTCGAGCGAGTTTTAGGCGAATATTCGAAGCGAGATCTTCATACATGCACGAGTATAGTTTAAGTTAGTCCAAAGCATTATATTATTCATTTATGGTGACAACTAAGTAGTATATATGACACTTACTTGTTATCATTAATCGATAAATTAAATTAATCGAGGTAAACAATAATTCAAGTATAACATAATATTTTACGCAAAGAAATATGGGCGTGATGATGTCATACATGAATATTACGAAGTTACTACAATGAATAAACACGTGTCTAAAAATATTTTGCGCCTTTGAAAACTATGAAAATTTTGTGAACTCTCCTTAAACTTGACTTTGGTCCATTATCCGATCCAAGTTTCTTCAGGTGACCGTGGCAACATGTCAAAAGATTTTCAAACGACAATGGGTAAAACCCAATATTTGGCAATTTTGAACCCGATTTTAGTATCGTCGAAATTACGTTTTAATACTGAAATTTATAAATATAAATTCATAAAAAAAGATAAAAAAATTAACAGTTTTAACAAATTGATGAATTAAACGTTTTTCGTAAAGTAAAAGATTCAGATACATCATAACATCTAAAGAAGTATCAGATCCCTACTCCAGCTCGCAGTAAATAGATAATAGCTACCTAACATCTAAATTACCAATATTAATACAATCATTTTATATTTTATTGTTGTTACACAAGTTTTAACAATTTGCTAAGTTATAGTATTTTGTTAATGCCTTTGTAACAGTAAAATAGTTGCGATACATTCACATCGATATATAAATATTTTTCTAATCATCTACTGACATCGAAATCAATTATTTCATATCATTTACTTCATAAAAACACACTTAGTTATGCAATTATTTAATAACATATGTATTGTAAGACCGAAGTATAAGTATTCGGCTCTAAAATATCAATAATTTTGAGACACAACAACATAACATTAAAATTCGAAAGCTTTGATACAATCGTTTCATTGAGTAACGGGACTATTATACTATATATTGCGTGACTTTTGTTCACGGGACTCCCGTTTTAACTGACAGGAAAATTTCAAGGCCAGCATACACGATCGAAGGAAATTTCAATACAAGGCGCCGCGTTGTAAGTTTACGATTATTTTATAGCGCATAGCTTTAACAGTTGCAGTTGGGGTTGGTGTTGCTTTGTGGCTGCTCCGTGAGGCGTTGACCACGTGCGCCGCCAGCAAGCATCGCCGGCTCGGAGTCGAGGCTTTCGGACATCTTGTCACATATTATGTCGACCAAGCGCTCGAACACCGTCTAAAACACGAACAAGATCGGAAATCAAACACTCCATTCGATGTTGTTATTTATCATTCACTGGCGGCCCGCCCCGGCTTCGCCTCCTTCCTCTTGAATCACTCTATCTATTAAAAAACCGCATCGAAATCCGTTGCGTAGTTTTAAAGATCTAAGCATATATAGGGACTGACAGACAGCAGGACGACTTTGTTTTATACTATGTAGAGATGATAAAATCCATGCAATGTATTCCTATTCGTAAGTAACACATATAAGTTACCTGATGGTATGTTATTGAAGACTTTCATGGACATACTCAAAGGGCACAACGCTTTTGTATTACTACTATTTCTTTCTTTATTAATGTACTTATTTTAAAATCTTTTAATTTTTTATTGATTTTGGCGGACTATTAAACAAAGGTAACTGTATTCCTAAGTTTCAGGTTAGCTTAACGCATTGAAGTACTAAAATGAACTTACCTTGACATTAATGTTTTCTTTAGCACTTGTCTCATAAAACTCAACTCCTAGTTGCTCAGCAAGTTGCTTCCCACGCTCTGCACTCACCACGCGCTCCTCTTCCATGTCACATTTATTTCCAACCAGAATCACTTGTGCATTGTCCCAAGAATAAGTTTTTATTTGAGTTACCCTGTGAGAAAATTAAAGGATTGTAATAATAAATTGGTATTCATTAACATAATGTAACGCACATACATTCTTCTATGATTTCGACTTATAAACGGGAGACTGTTACGTCACGATTGCAATTTCCTTGCCACTGTCGCGTGGTTCTTTCATTTGGTAACATAAATGCTTTTCCATGCAGCTATGACAGGCTGGTATACAAATATTTGAATTGTTCAAAACAATTAAAGCTTTACTATCAGTTTTTCGAGCGTTTTAACAGTAAGTCACAAAAATTATAATATATGTGGATATAAAAAAAATTCATGCCGCTATCGTAAAAAAATCTTGTACTTATTCAAAATTACCAATCTTGAACGCTGTTAAAGCTTTCCTCGTTAGTTATGTCGTACATTAAGATAAAGCCCATTGCCCCTCGATAATAGGCGGTTGTGATCGTACGGTAGCGTTCCTGCCCTGCAGTGTCCTGTAAGTTAAAATAAAATTTACAAAACTTTTAAGTTCTAACATGTATGAGATACGATTCAATTTATCTAATAATCATTATTGTACAAAATAACTGAATAATTTGATTTTGCTATTAATTGAATTACCTACGTTTTTGGCTCTTATTCTGTATACAATATTAAAGCTTGCTGACTAATTGACAATGCATAGCTCTAACTACTGAATCTAGGAGCATTAAATTTCCCGTAAACTCATCCCCGCCAGTTGAATATCTTACAAGGTCATAATCTCTCTGTTGACATAACCACCTAAGCTATGAAGTAAATGCGTTCAACGTACTCGTTAAATTACGTACTGTTTGAAATTTTCAGTGTAAAATTCTTAAATATTAGTTAAACCTCTCAAACGTACCCATATCTGAAGTTTAACACGTTTGTCGTGGCGGAAGACCGTCTTCACCTTGAAGTCAATGCCAACAGTAGACACGAAGGCCGACGTAAAGGAATCGTCCGCGTAACGGAATAGGAAACTGAAATTTTAATGAAAAAAATATCATAAAAGTAGTAATTTTGAAACACTTTAGCAGAAGTTTTACTATTTTTTTTTAATTAGTAAAATTGATTAACATAACAAGCAGTCGCCATACCTAGTTTTACCAACGGAACTGTTTCCAATGATAAGCAGCTTGAACATGTAATCGAAATTCTGGTCGGCGGCATCCTTCTGCCATTTGATATCAGCTCCGCCCATCTGCAACAAATATAGTTTACTAAACACACATAAAATAAATCGCACGTTACTCATGTTGGGTCGAGCACCTCTTCATCGCGTAGCGCCGTATTTTCATATTTAATTACAATGTTCGCTGCATTCCCGTTCGCTTCCATTTTTAAAATGTTTCAGAGTACCATCTCAGTAACACAACTGCTTTGCGCGAAGTTTCATAATTGAATAAGCTATATGTACGTTATGTTAAACATTTGTTATATACTTTCCGATTACTAAAAGCGACTTTAGTGTCTTGTGTTAGCATTCAAATATGCACAAATTGACTTTACCCCCATTTTAAATCAACACATTACGTTATCTACGTTCCCTTTTACTGGAAATGTGTTTTAACTGTAAGCTACTTGAAGCTGTTGAATTGTGTAACAAATTTAAAATATTCAAATTACTAATAAGTTCATCTCAAATTTTATCTTTTATCATTATCCAATTAAGACCTTGTAATTTTATGGGAAACATTTTTGTCCTGTATTTAGGTATTGTAACTAAGGTCTGCTTTTCAATTCATGTTATCAAGCATCTAGAGTGTTTATTCACATTACAGATAAAGTCTATTAAAGTCAGTAAAGTGATGAGTATACTTCATAATTTTATTTGGGATGCTAAAATATTCTTTTAAAGTCGGAAAATTGCATGAATTTCCTTCTGACACCAGAAATTCAGAATAAATACCGCAATAATTAAGTTCGTACATATGATAAACAATGTCAGCTCTTAAAGGCAACTTAATTATTAAGGTGTAATTTATAATGAATATGATTTAAATTTATGAATTAAATAGAAGTTGTGTACGTATTTTTTCATGTCGACATGTGTTTTTAACAATAGTATTGGCGTGTTTGTAATTAATAATGAAAAGGGAAGATTTACAGAACAAATTTATTTTAATTTCATGATTCATATGCCAATGACTAACGCCCGGTTTCTGAAACACTGATCATCGTAGAAGTTAACTAATCAGCTGTCAAATGTTATTTGATTTACCAAAAGGATTGTCCAACTCTTTGAATTGATTATTCTGATCATTAAGAAGATCATTCTGATCAATTCAGAGAGCTTAACAATCCTATTGATAACTCAAATAACAACTAAAAAGCCATGTGACAGATGGTTAGTTGATTTGTACGAATATCAGTGTTTCTGAAACCGGGTCACTAAGAGTCACTGATTTTGTAATTAAATATAGGTATAATAATCAGGACATTTGTGTGTGTCCGAATTCCAATGAACTACTTCCACTGTTTTTAAGAGGTTAAACCAACATCACTAATATTTAATATACTTAAGCCTTTTAAATTTAAAAATTAGGCAGATGTTTTAATATACGTGCTTAAGTACACAAACAGTTGTTGTCAGATAACTACAACATTTTAACGGATATAGACTATGTTTGGTATAAGGGCAGATAAAATATCAGATAAGCTTTTGTTAGGGTACTTAGACAAAGCATGAACCAGAAATTTGTAACAAATATAAAATTCTAAACGATGCGTCAATATAATTAGTAGTTATAAGCAATGTTCTCATAAAAAAATAAAAATATTGTAACACAAGGCTAATAAAAATTTCGAATACGAATACCGTCTTGGAAGTAAAAATTCTTTAAACCTGTTTAACCAATCTCTTTGAAATAGAAGGATTGTAAACTTTCATTCGTGCATTATTTCCATTGCTCCTGTAACACGTTCATAATTTTAATGGCGACCCACATAAAAATCTACTTCGCTAAAGAACTCGACAAAGGATATATTTATATCGATCAGTTCAGAACAACATTTTGCGCTGCTTAAAAGTACGAAGGTTCTTCTCTCCACCATATCATTTTTCGTTTGTAAATCGATAAATACTTACCGAGGTTATTACGATTGTTTAAAATTAAATTTTAACTTTTATTAGCTACATGACAGCCACTGTAAATTTAGAGAAATCAGAATAGCGATTCTTAGGATTTAGTCATTATAGAATTAAATATTAAAGCTACTTTTTTCTTAGTCGAGTTGAAAAATATTAGTTTAATATTTGTATAAAAACGTTTTTTTTTTTATTTACAAGAAATTATTATTATACTCTCCAACAATTATTAATGAATAATGTGCTAGAAACGATAAAATATTCAAGAAATAAACAATAAACTATTTTAAATTTTATGTAAGCTTCTATAATATTATATTACAAGTAATAAAATAAGCAAATGATAGACGTTTGCGTAGGTCTCTGAATACGTAGGCGTTACAGAAGGAAGAGGCGTAACTTGAAAGGAAAGAAACCTCATGGGGTGAAATATATTAAATGTTTTTGACACAATTTTAAATATTAAAAATAATAGGTAGAAATGATCCGCTCCTAAAATTGAAAAAATATAAAAAATAAATTACATTCCACTAATGAAACTACTTTTAAATACTAACCTTTATTTATACTTTTCTTTCGACGGAAAAATCGGGTTGTACTGTATTTATATTTTATCACCAAAATGACTTTCAACGATGGAACGGTAAAACTTGTTACATATAGCTATCTCTTTTAGATTCGCATCACGTAAAGGGAACAGATGTCACTTTTGCGCGATTATCGATTTCTTGTAGATGCTTTGTAACCTTTGGAAAGGCTAATAAACTATGCTAAAAGTCCTCTAGAAATGTTTCTAATGACGTTGGACACGATGTCAGCTGCCCACTCGTTTGAAAGTAAAATCGATACTTGAGAAATGCTCTTTCGTAATCCACTCCGACACACGTCGAACACTCGTTACAGTAATTAACAAGAGACTGATTAAAGGTACCTCAAAACGAAGCACCTACTTCCACTAATTCGAAACTATGCAATCCTATCGTTAAATGTAGCCCTCCCTTGATCTGTTTCACGCACAGCTGTTGCCTACGTCCTGGGACCTCCTCTACAGTGCCACTGGAGAGGGATTTAAGATGGCGGCGGTTGCGCGCGCAGCCTTTTGGAGCTTGTCAAGTTTTTCTCGGGGGAATGTGTCCTCATTGGCAACAGACCATGGCAAGCGTTGCCCAATTTTAGTAAGTGGCGCTTAACCGTTGACACAGATTTTGCTCGATTTTATCTTTTTTTTGCCTAGTAGCATTAACGATAACACAAAGTAACAAACAAATGTAAAAGCTTATATCATTTCAGCAATAGATAATATATTTATACCTAACCACTAATATTAAAGGACGAATGAATGACATCAATAATTATATTGATGTCATTGCGATTACACAATCAACTCAAAATATCAATATAATTCAAGTCTATGTTTATGTCTAGCTTAAAAACACCAATTTCACCCATTCATTAATAATAGTATGGTAATTCCAAAAACCAGTAAGAGCCCTAGACCACAATATGTCATGTGTTCATTCAAACATGTTTTTTGTACTTTTATTTAGAAATTTAAATGTCAGCCTACACATAATATGCGCATAACAGAATAAAATAATCTAAGAAATGTTACATAATGTTTTAATATTACACTCGGCTCGAGCTGAAATGGGTGGATTCTCGTTTCTCAAACAAAGATGTAAGCCTTGACCCCTCTCCGACCTAATTTTTCATTCTTGCATACGATTCGGCTTGTGATTTAAAATAAATCTTATATGAATATTCTAAAAACAATGTTAAATAACAAATATTACATGCAACGCAAAGCAAATTCAAAACGTTTCATTTGAAAAAAAAAAAAATTAAACCACCTTAAAAACTTATTAAGTCTGTTAAGAAAATGTTTTAACTATGATTTTTCAGGACTAAGTATTAACAATTTAATCAAAAGTTTTTATAACATCTTTTTATTTAATTCATTATTTCTAAAGTAAAACAACGCCATCTATACTGAAAAGACAACATTAAATATTGAGGTGCCTTTACACGCTTGAATGGATTTGTTGTAAAGTGAATTAGTATTCATAGATGACGTTAGTGGCAGTTTAAGGAAACAGCATAACACTTAAATGATGTCAGATTATGATAATTGTATTATAGAACTACTTCCTTTCCTTTTCTTTTTTTCAATTCTTAAATGTTCTCAATAGAGCTATTTAGCCAGATATTTTTCTGGAGCTATAATAGGTTATGTAATTTGTTAACGAATAAGCTACGCTTACTGTTAACGCTAGAAACCTCGGAAGTACCACGACTTCACAGAAGAACAGTGTCTAATAAAAATAGTTATGCCATTGCGTATCGTCGAGTAAAGTGACCTGAGAGGCACACTTTCTGTGGTTGGCAACATTATGCAACGCCACTGCTAAAATAAATGTTAATAGATAGTGTTTCGCACTTTCACTACCACCGGGTGAAACTCTTGTTCAAATGCGCTTTAAATGAAAAAGCATTATTTCGGGAGTTATGGTTTCCACCTCGTAAAAAAAATGTCCACATATTTTTTTTTTTCAAACTTTTATCATTTAATGGTGCCAATTAGTAGAAGTAAAGGCATTATAAAATCAAGAAATTACTTGCCTTTGACTGTCGGAAGTAGACCAAAAAAAAGTTCGCGATATGAGGCGTGCAATATGGCTATAAATTGACTGCGTTTGTCTGAAATATCCCGTACTGAAGCTCAATTTTGAGCACTTTAAATATTTTTCAAATGAAAATAATGTATGATTTCTAATTGCATAGCCTGAAGCTCTGCTATTCCAGACCAGATGGTTAGAGAAAACACATCCATTTGCAACGTCTATTCACAGGACTATACTAGAAAGAACCTTATAACAATGAAATAATAAAATTATCTATGTATATGCTTTCTATGAAAACAAAGTAAGACATTTAAATATTAGTACCTGGAGGACTGAGCTTTGCTCGGTGTTTTTTGGTAAATCATGTATTTTGGAAATAAAAAAAGAGAAATAAAAAAAAATAAAAAAATAATCTAGTACAGAAAAAAAGTAAAAAAAATAAGTGCGTAAATGATCGTGATACGAAACGCGGCCGTCTGTTTCGGGGCCGCCCGATTACCGACCGAGCTATTACAACATTTTTATTTACGGCGAAAATTACTGTCATATTCGAATGATATTCCTTGATACATTGAAACAGGAGTAAAAGTACATTTTCTAAAAATGAAATCTAGCTAGATCGATTTTTC